TTTAAGGGTCTGGAAGAGCCCACATAACCAGAAGCACTGAAAAAGTAGACAAGCATTCTTAAAAGCCAACAATCCCCTTTTAAACAGAGTATAGGCTCCCCATGGGTCTTCTTATACTGGCACCTGACCGGGTTTACTTCTTGCCTTTTCTAAACTTGTCTGACCTTCAATGACACTGAGTTTTTGCTTGCTAATAAGATACCTGAATTGAATCAATGAACTGCAGCAAGCAGAAAGATCTAAACTAGACTATAACGGTGGTGGTAGAAATGGAAAGGTGCAGCCACGAGAAATTAGATGCAGGCTCCGCTATGAGAGTGCACAGACTGAAGAGTCAGACTACCTGGGTCTGAGTTCTGGTTTTACCACATAGTTGGGTGACCCAGAACTAATGAGCTACTTAATCTCTGTCTCATTTTCCCTGACCTGTAAAATGGGGATTTGACAGTACTTATCTTACAGCTGTTAAGGATTAAATGAGTAAATATTTGTAAAGCACTTAGCATAGTGCTTGGCACAGGGTTGATTTTTGTTAAATTCACTGCATGCCTACCATGAGCTTGGTTCCATTAGAAATAAAAAGACTCACAGAGTTTGTACTTGATAGGTACAGCATTAAAAAAAAAGGGAATTGTCAAAGATGAACTACCACAGAGACAGGAGGCAGTTAAGGAGATTTAAGTCATTTACACAAGACTTCCCGTAAAATGGAGGAATAGGCAGACAAGCAACACAGATTCTCGTCAACAAAGAAAAGAAAAACCAGCTGACAGGTATACAGAAGATAATCCTGGAGCCCTGAGCTTTGAAAGCAACTATACAGAAGTGGATTAGGCCCCAACTAGTGGAAAAACCTGAATGAAAACAGTGAGTACAGAGACGGTCCAAGCTGTGGACTGTCAGCTACTCTGATGAGATCAAGAGCCTGAATATTTCTAAGTGGTATTGGGACCTAAGAATTGACCTGAAGATCAGCCCTGGTTGCCAACGGCTACAGGGACAACTGCGCTGGTGGCCTATGACTAGGAAGGGAAACAACCTGAGGTGTTGACTTTCTGCTGTCGAGAGGGCACAGCCATTCTGAGTATTTAAAGTGACCGAGGGCACAGCCATTTTGAATCTTTACAAGTGGCAACCATTTTGGATTTTAAAGTGGTATCATTCCCATTCAGATTCCAGGGACCTAAGAATAGGCTCTGTTGCCAAGGTCAGCAGGGACATATGAGAGGCTGACAACAGGAAGAGAGACAAGTGGTGAGTGTCTAAGTACTGTCAACTAGTGAACAGAGGAGCACAGTACCCTGCTTGTGTAAATAACACACAAAGCAAATGAAAATCATGGGCAAGTCACTCCAACATACAAACACCAATTAAATATAAACACAATAAATGTCACAATGCCTCGGAGACAACAGAGCATCACAGTCCACAAAAAGAAACAAGATAAAGCAGGAGAAACAAGGGACCAGGATACACACCCAAAACACATCCCTGAGGAAGATGCAGCATCGGACCTTCCTGATAAGGAATTCAAAAGAATTATATTTAGGTATCTTCAACGAACTGAGAGACAGATCAAGGAAAACAAAGACAAAACCCTAGAATAATTCTGAAAGACAATACAAGAACAAAATGACAATATAAATGAAAAATTAAAAATGATACAAAATCTACACACAGAAATCCAGAAGATTAATACTAAATTTTCAGAAATAGATAAGACACTGAATAGGCAAAGGAGCAGAATTGAATCAATGAAAGACAAAATTAGGGGGATTGAAGGCAAATACCTGAACACTTCTTTGGAAAGGGATAAATCAGAAAAAAGATCAAAACAAAATGAAGAAAGGCTAAGGTTCGTGTGGAATACCATCAAAAGGAATAACCTACATGTAATCGGAATTCCAGAACAGGAAGAGACAAATAAAACCACAAAGAAAATTGTTGAAGATTTATTGGAAGAGAATTTTCCTGGTATGATGAAAAATGAGAATATATCCATTCGGGGCATCCAATGAACCCCAAATAGGATAGACCCCAAAAGAAAATCACCCAGACATATCATCAAACTTACCAAAACCAAAGACAAAGAAACAATCATGAGAGCAGCACGGGAAAAATGAAAAGTTACCTACAAGGGGCAACCAATAAGACTAAGCTCAGATTTCTCAACAGAAACTATGCAGGTGAGAAGACAATGGGATGGTATATATACACCTTGAAAGAGAAAAATTTCCAACCAAGAATTATATATATACCCAGCAAAATTGTCCCTCAAATATGATGGTGAAATTAGGACATTTCCAGATAAGCAGAAATTAAGGGAATTTGTTAAAACCAGACCAACCATACAAGATATACTAAAGGGAGCCCTTCGGACAGAGAAGCAACAGCAGCAAACAACAATTGACGATTAAAACACATGATGATATAACCCAGAAACCAACCCAGCTATGGAAGTATCCAAAGTAAGAAGCCTACAAGATTGTAAACAGGGAACCAGAGACATCAACTGACTAATGAGGACAACTACAAACCAAAAGGAGGGAAATAACTATGGTACATACACATAATGGAATGCATGGAAGGGAAGGACACAGGGAAGATGTAACTATGGGGAGGAAGTGGGAGGGAAGCTGTTGCATTGTGGGAAATTGTAGTCAATGTCATGAGACAAAGTGTACATGAGCTGTTGTAAGGAAAGTGAATTTGCGCTGTAGATTTTCACCCAAAACACAATAAAAATTATGGTGTTGATGGTGAAAAACACTTTGTGTTCTCAAACAGCTTAGTAGGCAAGATATATCATTAAGTAGGCAATTTCACTAAAATGCAATAAATGCTACAATAAGTATATGTGCAGGAGCAGCTAATTTTGGAGAAAGTGTAGTAATGGGAAGGAAACGAATAGGAATTAGGTAACAATTGCAAGGAACAAGGAGAATGTGTCAATCAGTGAATATATAAACAGATTTAAGAGCAATCAATAATGCTTATATCAAAAAAATGCAATGTCCATTCAGTTTTAATTATGTTACCTTTTATTATTTTACAACATATTTCCAAAAAAATGCTTTTACAGTTAACCTTAACTGCTTTATAAGACCTGGAATAAAAGAACACTTAGAATTAGAACACACAAACATCAAACTGGAATATCTACTTGTACTGAACCATTATTACGAAAAGGATGTTGTTTTTTAAATAAGCAGATGTGTGGCAATGCAAAATAAAATACGTATTTGTTAAAACAGTAAACTTCGTTTTAATGGCTATAAAAAGGAGGCGGTTTTGTTTCTTTTCAACACAGCTGGTCCTAGCAGCAAGTTGTACTATGCATTTAAAGCAAGATATGCCCCTGAAAGCTTCTATTTTCAGTTTGTGTGTGTCACTTAAATGAGAGTCTAGACACAGGGAAGAATAAAAGCAAATACCTAGTCTGCAAATATGCTTCTCAATATCCATTCCTCCAGAGGGTCACAATGTTAGTGAACTTAAGACTCTCACTGGTGGTGGTATTTTACAGTAATTCTTCCTCAGTGACACTGGATGCTTTCAATTTTTTCTAAAAGAGAAGGGATGAAAATGCAGAGAAACCCTCCAGGGTTTAATTTTCACTTCACAATCTCCAAGTAGTAAAACAGCAGCTCTGCATGTTGGTGAAAAAGATTTCAATTTCTTCCTATTCATTTTTAATCATACTAGCATTAAAATTTATCTGCATTTATCTGGATTTCAAAAAAAAAAAAAAAATTTAGTTGCCAAATATTTCAGAAACTTCATAATGTGCTGCATACATGTAATTCGCTCTTATTTATCAAAATATACACTTACATATTTTTCTTACCTTCAGTGAAGTTCTTTATTTCTGACTGTATATGAGAAACAAGATTAAGAGACCAATGCTGGCTTTATCTCTTTATAAGCAATAATTTGGGTCTTTTTTCATCAACACCACTGCAGCATTTTCATGATGAATTCACAAAAGCCAATAAAGGAAACACTTAATGAACAGGTTTCTGTCAAGCAAGTCATGTTTTAAGGTTAGCCTCTCTCAAAGCGGCACTATGGCATTGTAGGCATTCAATTTTGTTTTCTTTTTTCAAGTCTGTCAGTTCTTTCCTACAATTACTTTTTCTAGCAGGGGATATTGTACAATCACAAAGTAAGGCCTAGAGACCATTTATGGTTGCTTGCAGTATTATGGTAGACATAACTCTCAAGAGCCGATATAAACCAAGCAGAACAGTAGTCAGTTAGAACCACATTCACATTCAGATAGTCTCTAAAAGCACTTTGCTAATATACAAGCTTCCTCCTTCTCAGCTGATTTTATGTTAATCTTATTAAAATCATAACAAATTAGGCTGCAAAGTTTCGTAGCAACTGCATAATAATCCTAAGGAATTATTATATTTTGATTAATAAAATGTTATTAGTAATGTCCTTTCTATAAACATGGTTGGCAAAATAAAAAAGGCACAAAAGAGGGGAGTAATGAAAAACATTTTCTTTTTACTTCAATTAAGGGCACCAAATCAAGTATCTCTCATGAAGAAAAGTAGAGAAAAAAAAATGTTCAGTGATTCATGCACAATTTGATCATTTAAAAAAAACAGTAATAATTCTCTTCAGCTAGGTCCTAAGGCTTGAGGAGAAAACAAATTTTCCTAATCACGTGCTTAATATACAATAAAATGTAAAGCAGCACATACATGTTTGGTTTAACAGTGGACCCATATTAAAAAAAAAAAAAAAGGGAGGCAATTAAACAAAACTAAAAATACCTTCATAGACAAAGTAATTCTACCTGTAACCTCTGTCCTTTTTACCACTTAGTGGAGTATAACGTCCATTAAGATGTAAAATGCAGCACACGCAATCATATAATCTAAAAACTTTTCATGATAATTTATTGCAAATTGCACTTGACAGTTCACCACAACAATGGAACACTGGCTCCTTGTTGATTCACACAGTCCCTGAGCCCCAAATCTAAGTCACCAGTAAAATGATCTGGATAGAAAGTTTGCGGCTGTGCTCAACCAGCTGGCTCCACCTTCTGGGTGTGAGCCAACCCGGGATACTGCTTTATCCTGCTCCTTCGTGGGACTCTCCTCCTCAGGCAGGTAGTCTGGTAGGTCTGTATTCTGTTCTACTTCCACAGGAGTATCTTGGAATGGAACCAACATCTGATACATGAGAAATGTTAGGAGTTATTATAAATCAACTTAATGTGATATATATATATCATAAGTTAAACTTTACTCATCCTTCTAACTGCCATATTTATTCTCAGTGACTGTATTACTTTTTAAATTTTAGTCTTATGGTAAGGTAGATCCAATTGCTGAGCACTGTATAAGAACAGAAAATGAGAACCACAGATGAGAACTGGGATGTCCATCTCCTGACACTCTGGAAGTAAATGTGCAACTTCTATTTAAAGAAGACTGAAGCAAGTGCTGCTCATGGGGGGACAGTGGAGTGCCACTGACCCTCCTTTCCGTGGGAATCAAAAGCAGCTAAAGGTATATGGATTCATTTTCTTTATTACAAAGCTAGTGGAAACACTAGCAACAGGCAAAGGTTTTCACCATATTTACTTGCCCAATGTTTAGACCTTTCTATTTTTGATTGGCAAAACTAGTTATGGTTATGAAAAAGTAGTTAAAAGCCAAGGCAAAGAGACCATGTCTCCTTTATATCCATATAAAATCAGCACATCATCTCCACTGAGATAAAGGAAATTGTATTCCCAAGAGCAGACTCTCAAATCAACAAAAGAGCTCTGGTTCTAAAAGAGCTGTCGAGCAAGAATACTTAAGAAACTCTTCTCCAACCTCCTAACTGGCAAATTTTGGGCTAGAAATACTAGCAATGTGCTGGTCATAAGGAATAATCAAGAATCAGAGTTAAGCGTAAATAAAAATTTAAAAGCTTTTACCTCTTCTCCACTTTCACTTTTCACAACTTGCTGAGCTTTCATAACCTTAGTTGATGCTATTGCTGATGCCAAAGCCTAAACAAGGATTAAAAAAAAAAAAAGGGCAAATTTTAAACACTGCTTTGTTCACCTAGTTTCAAGCATATTCAGCCATTTAAAATACTAACCTCTGCTTTCAAATCTGAACGGATTCGCACCACGCATCTTTGAACAGCCATTTGAAAAGTAAAGCTAATAACTCCTTTAATTTTTAACAAAGCCTCTTCACATAGATTTCTTCGAGACTGAAAAAACAAAGGAAACTGTTATTAAAATAGTTGAGTAAATGAATGCAAGCCACAGTGAACTAGTCATTAAACTCTAGGGGCAAAATTTTGCAAATGTCCCTATTTAAGTTCTACCATTTCATACTTGAGGGCAGAGGGCTTAATTAAGTTTATTAAATTTTACAAGATCAATAGAGTATTATTTCCTTTTCCTGCTGGATTTCTTCTCAAGGTCTATTTCTAAGTTTTAGTAATTTTTATCAAAAATAAGTTAACCAACATCAATTAAAGCTAAAAAAATGGAACTAAGAATAAATAACAAAGGGAAAATTCTGAAAAGCAGAGGTTTCTTTAGGTCAAGGGTGGGTAAACTATGGCTTAGCAACTGTTTCTGTAAATAAACTTTTATTAAACACTGCCATGCCCATTTTTTTATACATTGTCTAAACAAGGCAAGTTTCATGCTTAGACAGAGTTGGTCGTTATGACAGAGATCAAGATCGTTACGACAGAGATGCAAAACCTAAAATACTTATTATATGGTCCTTACAGAAAAAGGTAGATAACTCCTGCCCTCACTTAAAAATCTCTACGAATAAATTCTAATAATCTGAAGTAAGAATGAGTGAGCACCAGTGTTTAAGCCACTACTCCTTAAACCACCTGGTATTTATAAGGTAGTGCTGCCACTGTATCCTTTATTTATGGCATTCTCAATGGTTACCACTGCATCCTTAAGGGTTATCAGTATTTTTTTGGTTCTCATTTTCTTCTGATAGTGCTGACAACATAATATAATATATATTCAAACCCTTCAGTTTTTTTGACTCATCATACTACACTACCCTGGTTGTCTACCTATACCACAGTCACCTGTGTCACTTCTTATATCCAAGGTCCAGTGCCTGAAGCTGTTATTTTCTTTCTTCTTTGCCCTCAGATAGTCTATTCTCATCATTTCAACTGCCACTGCTATGCAGAAACACAAACGCACACCTCCTATCTGACTCTACGTCCATTTGGCTATCAGACATAGCCACTTGGGGATCAAGTGTTTGCCTCAAATGAAAGACCCAAAGTGAAAATGAACTAAAAAATAACCGGAGTTTCTCCTCATCCTTCCCTTTATCCCCAGGCCACACACTAAATCACTCTCTCTCAATTTTCCTGTTTCTGTATTGAGTCCAGTTTCTGATTAAGTACTTCTGAAGGGAGAGTAATTTGCATTGGAACCCATGCCCAAGTCTACAGACTACATTCTAGGAACAATTGCCTTCTAATTATCCAATTCATTCTTCTCTTCCATTGAATTCAAGTTTTCAAATCTATCCCATCACCCTTCAAAACAACACTCAATTATCCCTCATCTCCCTACTTAAACCATGTGCTCACTTCTACATTTTCACACTGCTCAGGCAAGGATCTACAGTATAATCTGACAGCACAAACCTATAGGGGGCTTGTCTAGTCCAGCATTTTTGGACTCTGATCTGCAGTCCTGAATTTTGTGAAGCCTCCTTAGGGACTGTCACCAAAGAGACCCATGTTTATCTCTTCTGTATGTCCAATACGAGGAAAACTTAAAAGTGAAGAAAAAGCTGCAAACGACATACAACATAAAAGTTAAGATACTATTGGGCTAGTCTAACTCCTTATTTAAAATGTGAAGATGTTGAAAAAATAGAAAAGTTAGAGAACTTGCCTAACTTACTACAGGGAGTTTGGCATTGGAACCCTTCCCCAAGTCTACAGCCTACATTCTAAGAACCAGTGCCTTCTTAGAATCGTATGTGGCCAGATTCATGAGGCCAATTCTTTTTTATTTACTTCAACACACATTTACACATATTCAGCAGGCAAAGCCTAGGGGAAAAATTCGATTCTATAATTTGATCTCAAAACAATCTATTTCTGCATAAACAGAAGATCTTCAGCAGAACAAATAGGATCAAGAATTATCCACAAAGGACAAATGCACTCGAATGGGATGTTATTGTTCTGTGCTATTAAAACATTTGGGGAAAAAAAAAGGAGGGAATATGCAAAAATATGAAATGCTTCATGAATTCACATGTCATCTTCTGCAGGGGCCATCTTAATCTCTATTTATTCCAATTTTAGTATATGTGCTGCCAAAGCAAGCACACCATCAAGTCAATTTTGACTCATACAACTCTATAGGTCATAGCAGAACTGCCCCAATAGGGTTCCTAGGCTGTAACATGAACAGAAGCAGACTGCCAGGTCTTTTATCCCACAGAGTCACTGATGGGTTTGAACTACAGACCTTTTGGTTAGCCATCATACCATCAGAGCTCAGGGTCAAAATTAGGTATAGAGAATCATAGGTAGATGAAATTAGGAGTTGGATAATGTGTTGGTAAACTGCCTATCAATAGCAAGGAGAAAAGTGTGTGTGTGTGTGTGTGTGTGACAGAGTATAAACTGAAAGAAAACAGATAGCAGACACTCTTCCATTTATAATTTTGGGATTAGTTACTCCATGGTAGCAAAACCTGAGATTAAACTCCATGGTCATGTAATCTCCAGTTGGGGAAATAAAGTAAAGGCCCAAAAATCAGGAATAACCTTCTAAAAGCCTTGATATATACATTAGAGTACAATTTTCTCATTACAAGTGAGAGTAAACGTGTATTCCTATGTGGCTGTCCAATCTAGTCATTAAGACACTTTGAGAGTAAAAGTGCTGCTACGAATAATTATGCCAATTCATGTGTTTATGCTTCTGTTGTATCTCCTAGTTTGTTGCACAGTGCCTGGGGTCTTAGAAGCTTGCAAACGGCCATCCAAGGCACAACAATTGGTCTCTATTTACCTGAACAACAGAGGAAGGAGAGTCAGGAATAGGAGGAGGATATGGAATGTGTGGCTAAATGCCTCCATCAACAACTGCCTTCTTTGCCATGAGACCAGAAGAACTGGATGGTGAATTATTATTGAATATTTTGATCAAAGATGCCATATCCATATCTTTTGAATCCTGATCAAAAGGGGAAAAATGCAGAAAACAATTTCAAATTCTCATGGACTCTAGACTTTCTGGAGCCATAGAGGATAGATGAACCTCTGAAACTTCTGACTTGAAAAATAATCTTTAAACTTTAAATTAAACATATCCTCTGAAGTCATCTTACAACCAAACAACAGCTTAGTTTAACTAGTAAAAAAAAAATGGTGTCCCTTGAGCATTATGCTATTTTAAGAACTTTCCATGTGGTATCAAATTGACAACAGTAACTTGAAAAGATTAGACAGGAACCTTAGGGGGCAATAAGTTTACATTAGTGAGGAGAAACAACTTAGTAAAGGAGGGTGAGAATCATTGCACAACTTGAAGAATATAATCAATTTCACTAAATGGTAAATGTGGAAACTTGAATTGGAGCATGTTTCCCTGTGTATGTCTTCAACAAAAACATAATAAATAAAATTTAGAAAAAGAAAAATGAGTGGGGCTCTGAAGCAGATCCCCACTACCTAGGCAGACCTCCTATCCAGAAACAGGCTTTTAGCGCTTGTTGTTATTTGCCATCAGGTTGGACTCAACTCATAGCAACCCCTCCTTGGGTTTCCAAGGCAGTATCGCTACAGAAGTAGATTGCCCAACCTTCCTTCCAAGCTTTTAACGCTACTTATATCAAATCTTAATTCAATGAAGATCTTCAGTTTTCTTCTTGTGTCCTACACTTTCTTATTAGGAATATCAGTGATTTCCATCTTTTTTTTTTTTTTTAGGTTTTATTTGAGGGAGTTTAACAAGACATCAGAACTCATTTACATCCTTGAGGGACAAGAATCGGGATCAGCATAAGGCTGGTTCCTATGAGGTGGAGTTCAGAACACTCTCCATTTCTGACCCATCCCACCAATGGCACTTTCTACTTCTCTGCTGGATTCAATAATTCTTTGCAATGGCCACACAGAATTCACAGACCATATGCAGTGGTTATGTTTGTGTGTCAACTTGGCCAGGCCTAGTTGAGTGGCTGGGCATCTGGTGGTAGTTATTGCCCATGATGAGAGTAGCAATCATCTCCACAGTGGGATCTACCACAAGCAGCTGAGTAGCTTTGGGTATGTGGTCTGCTTCCCGTATATAAGCAGCAACTTTGGGAATGGTTTCTAGCTTGTGGCACACTTGAACCCTGCACATAGCCATGTCATTGTTCAGCATCCTGCCATGCTCTGCCCACCTGAGGACTTACAATGGACTTGAATGAATAGCCTGCTGTGTGGTTTGGCAACATCAGGACTGTGCCTTTTCACTTGTCAACCTTGGGCTTGGCAGCCTCAGCAGCCAGCAGCTGTCTGAGTGAAGAAAAGCCTCTAGCTTCAGTGTGCTGGGAGCTGGAGGCAGAGCTGAAGCCCAAGGCTGAGCCTGGCACTTTGAACTTGGATTTAAAGCCTCCAAACTGTAAGAGAAAAAATTCCTGTTTGTTAAGGCCATCCTATTTGTGGTATATTCCTGTCAGAGTGGCACTAGGTAACCAGAACACCATATTCACAATTAGATGATTGCAAAAACGGCAGGGAGGCCACATGTTCTGACCTCCTCTAACCCTACAAGGGGAAGGCAGGATTACCAGCAGTAATCCAAGGCCTATTACTGCAAGGCTAGACATGCTGCCTCCCTCCAGCCCTTTCATCAACC